AGGAACACAGACTTAGGTTACCCAAAATTCTGTGTGCCAATGAGCAAGCAGTCTCACAGTTTTACAGAGCAAAGAACATCACAAATTGAGACATGTTCAAAATAAATTTCTGGGTACATCAGAGAGCAGGTCCAGCAAGCTGGGGGAGCTTTTCTCCAGGTCCACACCACTACCTGATGGATTGGTGGGACTAGTTGTCTGCTCTGTTAATAGATTCCAATAGGTTTTTAATCTATTGATCATGTGATGTTAGTTCTGACATAATGGACAAGGCTTTTTCTTTTGGGCCACCAACCAGCTCCAAAATCTTGACACAGAGACTTATTACTAGCTTTGAATGCTCGGCCTTAGCTTAGCTCTTTTCTTGCTAGCTCTTATAACTTAATCTGCTTCTCTTCATCTACATTTTTGCCTGTTTTTTTTTTTTTTAATCTTTTCTTACTTTCTAGCTTCTGGCCCAGGGTATCTCCCCTGTTCTCTCCTCCTCCTCCTTCCTTCATTCCTCTTCTTTCAAACCTAGATTTCTCCTCCTATTTATTCTCTCTGCCTGCCAGCCGCACCTATTCCCCTCTTCTGCCTAGCTGTTGGCCATTCAGCTCTTTATTAGACCAATCAGGCGCCTTAGGCAGGCAAGGTGAAACAGCAACACATCTTTGCGTAATTAAACACACATCCTTGCATCATTAAGCAAATGCAGCATAAACAAATGTAACACACCTTTACACAGTTAAAGTAATGTTCCGTGCTCTTGGCCTTAGCGCCATGAGAGCGGAGTGGAGGAAGCGGCAAATGCACAGGCTGAAGCACAAGAGAAGAAGAACGCTGAGGCAGAGGTCCAAGTAAACCGGCCTGTGCACCCACGGAGGCTGAAGGAGCAGACATAAGGGACGCTGAAGGCCGGGACGCTGGTACAAGTTGCTGGGCTGTGTGCTGCTGTCAGTATAAGTCTCAATGGGCCTAGAACATCACCGTCGGCTCGCAGAGACCACCTGAGAGACTTTGACTGCTTTCATTACAACCAAAACAGTCCCGCTGGCCTGCAGCCCTGGACTCATGGCATTTCAGACTCGTTCTGTTCTCACTTGTGGCTAAGTGTAACTCATGTACAATAAACCACCTTCTCGCTGTCTCAGCTGAAGGATTAAAAAAAAGTAACATTCCACAGCATAAACAAATGTAACGCATCTCTGCCCAGTTAAAATAATATTCCACATCAACACAGAGGTGTGTTTCAGGGTATTTGATCACATTGTGAGCCCTGAGTTTGCGTTGCGTTAATTAAATAAAATCAACCTTGGGTCAGGTGGCAGAGCCAGCAACTAGTTGATAGAAAGGAATCATAGGGAGTCTGGAAGATGGACAGACACACAGGAGGCAGCAGGGAGGGACTTGAGTGTGGTGGTCTTTTTTGGTTTGGTGGAGTGGAAGGCAGCTTCTTTTGGAGACACTGGCAGAGGGATGGTCAAGTAGTTGCTCATCAAACTCTCTGAGCCAGCAGGTTTTCACCCCAGCCTCTGACTCTTGAGTCTCATTGAAAAATAGAATGATAAAGATGCAGTTAAAACCACATTTGGTGGCAGCAGCAGGAGACAGATCTGGCAGGATGTAAAAGTCCCACCAGGTTGCTACCCAGGAAGCAGACCAGTAACTGCAGGGCCGAAATCATTGGCTGAAGCAGCAGTAGATGCAGGCAGAATGCTGTGCTGGATTTGTGTGCCGTAACTGTGGCGGGTGCTTGTGCTTTGCCATTTTCACCGTTCCTCTGGCTCAATATTCATAGCTTCCGATGGCTCCCCTGAAGTAGGTGGGTTTTTCTTGTTTTTGTTTTGAGACATGATCTTTACTTTGGAGCTCAGATGGGCCTTAGACTCGTGTCCACATCAGCCTCCTCAGTGCCAGTGTCTGACACATTACAGATGTGAGTCCAGGTTATGTTGCTGGAGGGCTTCTCTCCAGGTTCCCCAAGCCCCGCAGACCCACAATCCACTTATAAAATAATCACTCATACGCTTATATCACTTATAAACTGTATGGCCGTGGCAGACTTCTTGCTAACTGTTCTTTTATCTTAAATTAACCCATTTTTATAAATCTATACCTTGCCACGTGGCTGGTGGCTTACCAGAGTCTTTACATGCTGCTTGTCCTGGCGGTGGCTGCAGTGTCTCTCCTTCCTTCTTCCTGTTTCCCCAATTCTCCTCTCTCCTTGTCCCGCCTATACTTCCTGTCTGGTCACTGGCCATCAGTGTTTTATTTATATAGAACGATATCCACAGCAAGGTTACTATAAATTGTTTTCAGTTTTTATTGTTGTTGGGGTTTTTGGTGTTTTGTTGGTTGGTTGGATTTTGATATATGGGGTCTTAGATAGTCCAGTTTGGTCTTGAACCCAGTATGTAGTCAAGGATGACTGTGGTGGTTTGAATAAAAATGCCCCCATAGCCTCAATATTTGAAGATTTGGTTCGCAGTTAGTGGTTTGTTTGGGAAGGATTCGGAGGTGTGGCATTGTTGGAGGAGGTGTGTCACTGGGGGTGGCCTTTGAGGTAGCAAACGCCCATGCCAGGCCTAGTCTGCTTTCTCTCTGCCTCCATCTTATGGATCCAACATAAACTCTCGGCTACTGCCCCAGTACCGTGTCTGCCTGCCTCGTGCTCTCCAATATGATGTCAGGGGACTAAACCTCTGACACTGTAAGCAAGCTCCCACGTTAATTCCTTCCTTTATAAGTTGCCTTGGTTGTGGTGTCTCTTCACAACAGAACAGACTGGAACAGTCTTCCCTCTGTCTTAGCACTGTGACTATCACAAAGGAGGGCTCAGTGCTTGGGGGGGGGGTGTAGAAATAATGATTTCCCCAGAGTGTGCAGAAGGGGGTCATGGGAGGGTGCCAAAGTGTGTCTTCTGTTTTTTTTGTTTTGTTTTGTTTTGTTTTGTTTTTCGAGACAGGGTTTCTCTGTGTAGCTTTGCGCCTTTCCTGGGACTCACTTGGTAGCCCAGGCTGGC